GGAGGTTCCGGAATCAGCGAGTTCAAGTTCCTCAAGCCAATTTTCCCCAACTTCCCTCCCCAGGAAACTGCGAGGGAAATGGAGGAAAACGCCACACTTCGAAATAGTCTCCAATTCAATTAAGTATTAGCTTGTTAAACTTGACCCATTTCATAGATCTCATAAGTTTACATGTTATAGATGCATGCTATTGATGGTCCGTTTCTTGCTGATTTTACTATTATTCATTAAGTTTAAATTTTAAACTAATTGAGAGAGAATTTTAAACTATCTACTTGGTGGTATAGCACTGGTCTGTGCGTTGCTGTACAGAGGTAACTTCGTGGTTGCTGTGATGCTGAAGCCTGTGACAGTGATGTGCCAATCGTGGTAATGGGCACCCATGGTGGACAGTGTTGGCTGGAGCGAGCTTCCCGACTAAATCAAGCTTGGAAGCAGGAGCGGCATCCACTTCCGAAATGGCTTGCCTCCGGAAACTCTATGTACAAACAGTGCTCAGGCTGTTCGTTCATAGGGTCGCTATGAGTCGTCTACGACTTGACGGCATTAAACAACAACAAACAACTTGACATTTCAGGTTTTTTCTATATACTTTTAGGCATTAAGAAATTTGCTCATCTGTATTTGACCAACTGAATAAAAAGTAAAAAATTCTACATTCTTAATTTTTTCTAACAAATTATGTTTATATATTCTTAAGGTATCTATCCTTCAAAATTCTTGGGAGGGTTATCAAGATCTCAGTGTAATATCTTTCAATTCAGATGTTTTTGGTTATTTAATCTTCCAGTGTAAGCTTCATTTGGGAATAACTTCTACAGCTTGAAATAGGTTTATCACTTAGCTTATCACTAAGATGTTGTTGTTGATATTGTTTTCCTTTGAGTTGAGCACGAATCATAGACACTCTAAGAACAAAAGGCCTGAAGCCCCTCTACAACTCTCGACATTTATCAAAGTTCATAGAGTTTCCGGAGGCATGTTGCTTAGGAAGTGGATTTAAATGTATTTTAAGATGGGAGGATAGTCAATACAGATTTTTAGCTAAATTTAACATATTAAATGAGAACTCAAAGGTTGTTGAGTTCATGTAAGATAGTGACTGATGTAGTTGTTGTGCCATCGAGTCACCAGCAACTCATAGCGACCCTATGTATAACAGCCCTAAAACCTGCACTATTTATTCTGTGCCATTCTTATTGTCTCTGACACACCTACCCCCATTACCCTAGACACTGAATCAATCCTTCTCATCGAGGATCTTCCTCTTCTGCGCTGTCCTTCCAAACTTCCAAGCATGGCGTCCCTCTCCAAAGACTGGTTCCTCCTTGCAACATGTCCAAAGTATGTCAGATGAAGCGTCAGAATCCTTGCCTCCATGGAGCAGCCTGGTTTAACTCCCTCCATGATTCACCTGTTCATTCTCTTAGCAGTCCATGGCATATTCAGTACTCTTCTCCAACATCACAGCTCAAAAGAATCAATTCTCCTTCTATCATCCTTAGTAATTGGCCAGCTCTCTGATTCATAGCAAATGATTGCATAGACCATGGCCTGTATCAGGTGCACCTTAGTCTCCATACTGACATCATTGCTCTTCAGTACTCTGGAGAGGTCTCTGACAGTAGACTTTCCCAATGCAATACGTCTTTTAATTTCCTTCTTTTTAAAGAAACTACCAAGTTAATTATAAATGCTTAAGAAATATTTGTTGATTGCTGCTAACATTCATTTCCATATTCAAAACTCTCTCATTGCAGTTGATTCAAAAACAGCTTATCCTCCAGCACGTTTTCTGAGGATCTAAATCACTTGGGAGGAGATTGCCCATCTTTCTCCAGCAGAGCAGCTGCTGGGGTCTAAATGCCAGAGAGGTGCCACCTCTGGGTCACCAGAACAATTTCTGATGGACTATGCCACCAGACCTCCTCATAGTGAATATAATCACATCATTT